CTCCATCTTCTCAATTCTCCTCCTCCTCCTCCTCCTCCTCCTCCTGCTCATCCTCATCCTCATCCTCATCCTCAGCCTCATTCTCATCCTCATCACCACCACCACCACCACCACCACCATCATCATCATCATCATCATCATCATCATCATCATCATCATCATCATCATCATCATCATCATCCTCATCATAATCATCATCATCATCATCATCATCATCATCATCATCATCATCATCATCATCATCATCATCATCATCATCATCATCATCATCATCATCATCATCATCATCATCATCATCATCATCATCATCATCATCATCATCATCCATCCTCATCATCATCATCATCACCATCACCATCACCATCACCATCACCATCATCATCACCATCACCATCAGCAGCAGCAACAGCATCAGCATCAGCATCAGCATCAGCATCATCATCATCATCATCACATCATCATCATTCATCCATCAGCATCATCAGCATCATCATCATCATATCTCATCATCATCCAGCATATCATCATCACCATCATCATCATCATCATCATCATCAGCGAGCAACCAGCAGCATCCATCATCATCAGCATCAGGCATCAGCATCATCATCAGATCATCATCATCATCATCATCATCAGCATCATCATCATCATCATCATCATCATCATCATCATCAGCATCATCATCATCATCATCATCATCATCATCATCATCATCATCATCATCATCATCGTCATCATCATCATGATCATCACCATCATCATCCTCATCCTCATCCTCATCCTCATCCTCATCATCATCATCATCATCATCGTCATCATCATAATCTTGCTCCTCATGCTCCTCTCCTGCTCCTCCTCCGCTTTCTCCTCCTCATCCTCATCATCATCCTCCTCCTCCTCATCTCCCTCTTCCTCCTTCTCCGGTTCCTCCTCCTATTTCTGCTGCTTCCCCACTCTTCCTCCTGCGCCTCCGCATCCAACGGAAACTGCCCGCATGGCGACAGCACTAGATGACGCACGAATGGCGAAAGCAAACGCCATGATGGCCACCGCTGCGAGCACCACGGCATCACGAAGGCGGCGGTAGCAGTAGAAGTGATAGGCTGATTGTAGCACTCGTCTGCCTGCTGATCACCAAGCAGACAGCGGGCAAAGGCTGGCCAGACCATTCTTGTGACGGCGTCCTACTCCAGCGGACAGGCTGGGCGATGGTTGCTGTGAGACAGAACCCAGCTACTGGAGGGGCGGGGGGAGGGAGAAAGAGACGCGCAAACGCAGAAGGCAGCTATACTTAGGTCGGGCATGTCCCCCCACAGGCGGATTCTGGACGAAAAAACAAAAATCCAAAAATGCTTCAAAAATATCCAAAAGTGGTCAAAAAATCGTCCCTAGACTATGTTGTACTATTTTTGAAGATTCCCCCTGTAGAGGGACAGGCCTGACTTAAAGCTATACACCACCACCACCATGGCTGGGCAGGGCCATCATGGGCCTTGGCATGGGGACCGCGCACTCGTAGCCGAGGCGAGGAGGGTCAAAACACCATCTTGCATGCCAGGACGGACCTGGCCAGGCATGGTGGTGGTGTGCAGGTGCCCTCTGCGGAAGCAGACTGGGAAGGGAGGACTGACTGGACGAGGACAGGAGGAGCAAGAGAAGCTCATCTGCCAGTTCGGAGAACTCCTGCGGACTCGGGGGATTCTGACCTATGCGGATGGTACCCTTCGGCGTACGAGGCATCCGGCTGCGATCGCTGGGCCTGCTCCAGGCACGACACCCTCTCGCGGCAGATGGGGCACCTGTACGAGCGGTACTGCACCCTGCTCCTCATGGCGTCGGCGCACCCTCCGCAGAGGCACATGTGCCTGCACGGCAGCACCACGGTGTCGCGCGGCTCGGACATGCAGATGACGCAGTCCGTGCTGGCCGCGCCGTGCTGAGGCGACTGTGCCGACTGGGGCCCGCCGAAGACCTCGTGCACGTCGTAGTTCGACGCCAGCCCGGCGACGGGCAGCTGCACGCGCTGGGCCCTCACCTCGCACACGACCGCGGGCGGCAGCGCCGCCAGCGTCGCGGCCGCGCCTGGCGTGCCCGCATCCGCAGCCCTGTGCACAAGGCCGACCAGGGTCCACTGCGCGGCCACGCCCTCGGCGGCGGCTGCGCCGGCGGTGCGCAGCTCCACGCAGAGCGCCGACGTGCACAGCTCCCCCGGGTGGGCCCTCTGCGGGCGGAAGCCCCCCAGCTCGACGGGGCACTGGTGCCGGAGGCCGAGCCCTGGCTCCGCGTAGAGCCGCGGCTGGGTCGGGAGGGCGCCGTCCGTCCAAGTCACCGCCAGCCCTCGACCTCCACCCCTCGAGTAGGGAATCGACGTAGAGTGTTCGTGGGTCTGCGAACGTTCTACGTCTTTTTTCCTCGTTGCTTCGCACGCAAATGCATTTTGGGGCAAATAGACTCTGGAAGCGATCTCTTACTCGAAGCATCGGACCGCCCGCACCTTCCAGGCGGCAGATGCCGCGCGGGCGGCCGCCACCAGCGCGGCCACGGTGCCGGCCGCCGTCGAGGCCCCAGCGGCGGTCTCGGCGGTCGCCGCGGCCGCGCCGCGGCCGCCCGCACACCTGCCGCGCGGGAGGCTCGGGCGGAGCCCGAGGGCCTGACCGGGCCCGTCCTCGGTCCAGGATCGGTGCACGTGCCTCGCTGGCCGTCCTCCTCCTCCTCCTCCTCCTCCTCCTCCTCCTCCTCCTCCTCCTCCTCCTCCTCCTCCTCTCTCCCCTCTCCTCCTCCTCCTCCTCCTCCTCCTCCCCTCCTCCTCCTCCTCCTCCTCCTCCTCCTCCTCCTCCTCCTGCTCCAGCCAGGGTGGCGTGCGCAACGATCCTGTGCCCAGGGTGGGCCCGGCGCCAGGGCCAGTGCAGGACGGAGGGCCGGCGCGCTCCCGAGGATGGGAGGTCCACGCCGCCGCCACGAGGGGGGCGCTATCCAGGCTCGCGTCCTCCAAGCAGGTGTGCACCAGCACCTCGCACTGCACAGTGGCGTCGAAGGTGAAGGCCAAGTGCCACTCTGGCTCCGCGGCCGGGGCTGCCACCCCACGGGCCACGGGCCGTTCAGCATCGATTGGCCACTCCCCATCCCCGTCGGGTGGACCTTGTCCCGGCTGGCCGACCGACCTCCCTGGGTGGGGATGGACATCGTCTCCGTCGGGCTCCGTGGCCCCTGGCAGCACTCCAGGGCGGCGGGCTGGTGGCCTTGAAGGAACCCTGGCCCACTGGGGCTGGGGATAGGTCCAACACTACTGAATCATGCGGGGGCCCAGGATCCGGCAAGCTCAGACGATGCTTGGCCGGGTCGGTTCTGGGCGTCCCCCCCCTGGTCCCCAAACCGATATTTTCCTAACATGTACCCCCAGAGGTCTGGACCCCGTCCCAGGGACCGGCTTTTCATCCTGAGCCCTCGGCGGCAACTCGTGGAAGCCTCCCATGCCATCTTGTCGGCTCTTGCGAATCGACGCCAGTCGACGCTGCATCGACGCTAAATCGACGCTAAATCGGCGCTATCTCGTCGACTCCAAGACGCCAATCGACGCCAATCGACGCTTAAGAACGGAATCGCGAGGGTATGCAAGGCTACCAGGATGAGCCGGCTTTGACGGCCCCCGGGCGGCGAAGACGCCCCCGCCAGAAAAGACAGAGCCGTCCGTCGACGGGTCTCTTCATGATGCGAACAGTCTGGGGAAGCTGGACCGACCGAAACCGCGCGCCTCCACGCCACTTCGCTCGCTCCCCGCGGCCCAATGAGGGCTCTTCCACGCTTGCTCCTGGGCCTCCAACAGGGCCGACGACAGCGATGACGACGACGACGACCACCACCACCACCACTACGACCACGGCCATGACCACGACCGCGTCCGCGACAACGACCGCGAACCGCGACCAGGAACACAACCACAACCACGACAACGACAACGACGGCGACGTTTCGATTCGTTTCGTTTCGCTTCGAAGCGGTTATGCTCCAGGCGGGACCAGCCCCCCCCAACCACGCCAGAGGTGGATGCAACACTTCGGCTTCGCGAGGCTGACAGCGACGACGACAACGACGACGACGACGACGCAGGCATAGGCTAACTGACCATCAAGGTCGTTGCGGGTGCTTCTCTCTCGGAGCCTCTTGGAAGCATCTTCGGGTGGGGTCATGGCAGTTGAAGGCCCTCTTGGGGCCCTCCTGGGGCAATTTGGATACATGTGATGCCCTCTTGGGCACCTATCGGGGCCCTCTTGGAGGCCTTGGGAGCCCTCTCGAGGCCATCTTGACCCTGAGATCCGACGTGGCGAAAATTGCACCATCGTGAAACATTCACAACCTGAGCCGGAACTCGTCCTCCTGCGCCACTTTCGAGCCGGATCGATCGGTCAGGGCCCCACGGCCCGAAGCCGGGCGAAAACGCACGGCTCGAAAAAGTCGAGACGGCAGGATGTCAGGGCTGGCGCAAGACTGACCCACCCCAGAGGTCTAGACCCCTCCCCCAGGACCGGTGTCCCATCCCGAGTCGCTTGTTGACGGTCCCGAGGCCTGGTAAGGACCACCAGAGACCACCAGAGGCCGACGCTGATTTGGATCGGGGATCTTCTCACCTGGATCAATCCAGCCAGGCCTTGCAGGATCCTGCAAGATCCTGCAAAATCCTCCAGGATCTTGCACCCACACCCGGGTCAGTGCAAGCCCGGGTCGGTGCACCCCTGGCCCTGCAGGATCCTGCGAGATCTGGCGCTCGGACTGACCCCTGTTTGCATCGGCCCCCGTCTCTGGAGCCCCGATGGGAGCGATCTGTGAGGGCTCCAGGGCCAGAGGAGCCCAAGCGACAGCGCACTGTCCCCCTGAGGCGCGAGGAGCTCAAGGGAAGGCAGCGGTGGCGGGGGCCCGGGCCCCCCCCCCCAAGCGGGCTCCAGAAATGTACCACCCTCCTCCACCCTCCTCTTCCCCTCCTGCTCCTCCTCCTCCTCCTCCTCCTCCTCCTCCTCCTCCTCCTGCTGCTCCTGCTCCACCCTCCTCCACCCGCCCCTGTCACCGTCCATGAGCCATTCCTTCGTTTCGTTTCGCCACAGCCTGGAACTCCTGCAGAGCTGGCTGGAACCATACGCGGTTGTACACATGCTATGGCTTCTGCCTGGAATACCATTACCTCTCCGCCCTCCTCTTCCCCCCCGTCTGTCCTGGCAGAGGGAGGCGGTGAGGGAGGTGGTGGTGGTGGTGCATGCCTTTGGGCCAAGATCCGCGTACCGGTGGGTGGTCGGGCCATGACTCGGGCCTCCAGCGACTGCACCCGGGAAGGCTCCGGGCAGCCCCCCGGAACGCGCTCGGCGAGGCGCAGCCGCTGGAGGCATCCCGAGGCTTGAAGACCACCGAGATCCCACGAGAACGCCCGAAAACCCTGCACCCCGAGACTCTTCCGAAAAATAAAAAGCTGCATTAACACGAACTGGCGCTGGGCACCCCTCCCCGGCACGCGGCGCAAGGGGGGTCCAGCGCCGATCCTAGAAATCCGTGCGGAGCCCCGAATGTGGTTGTGGTTGTGGTTGTGTTAATTTCTATGGCTGTGGCTATGTGCATGTGTGTGATTACGTTTATGTTTGTAGTAATGTGTCTGCCTATGACTGTGCTATGTGTATGTGTGCTTGTGACTATGTTTATGTCTATGCTTATGGTTGTGCCTATGTTTACGCGTGTGCTCATTATTATGCTTATGTGTATGAATGTGTTTATGATTGTGCTTTGTTTATGATTATGAGTATGCTCATGCTTATGATTATGCTTATGATTATGAGTGTGTTTATGTTTATGGTTATGGTCATTCTTATGACTTTGGTTATGATTATGATTATGAGTATGTTAACGCTTATGCTTATGATTATAAGTATCATTATGCTTATGAGTATGATTATGATTATGATTTTGCTTATGAGTATGCTTATGATTATGCTTATGATTATGTTTATGATTATGGTTATGATTATACTGAAGTTTATGATTATGAGTATGCTCATGCTTATGATTATGATTATGTTTATGCTTATGCTTATGAGTATGCTTGTGCGTATGATTATGACTATGCTTATGCTTATGATTATGCTTATGTTTATGCTTATGTTTATGTTGATGCTGAAATTTATGATTCAACTTTCGTTGCCCTGGCCCTCAGGGGGGTGGCCGCCCTCGGCCACGGCTGCTGGTGCTATGGCCCCAGGCTCGAAAGCGAGCCGGAGGCTCTTGCCGTGCAGGTGGAGCGGGTTCTGCACGACCTGCGGCGGCGGCTTCTGTGGCAACAAGTGGGAGCCTCCCATACCATCTTCTCGGCTCCTGCGAATCGACGCTAGCGGAAGCTAAATCGACGCTAATCGACGCTAAACCGACGCTAATCGACGCTGAATCGGCGATATCTCATCGACTCCCGGACGCTAAATCGGCGCCAATCGACGCTAACGACGGAATGAAGGGCCCAGATCTCCGACCTGTTGTTGTTGTCCACTCCGAGCGTGAGGCCTCTGCTCTCGAAGGTTCTCGGACCATGTCCTGGGCCCTGGGCGGCTTTCCAACCTCGGGATGCTCTCCAGCAGCTGCGCCTCGCCGAGAGCGCTGTGGGGATGCCCGGATCGTCCCGAACGGCCGCCAGAGAGCCGAGCTAATGACCCGAAAACTGACCAATCTCAAATCTCCGACGATGCATTGGTTCAAGCTGGGCGGGTTTCCTTGATGTCGGCCGTCCAGTGTCCATCATTGGGCCGCCGGACTATCAAAAGTGGGCCCGGGCGAAAACCTACCCCTCAGGGAAGTCATCGGTGCCTCTGGGACCGCGAGCTGAAAAAATCACATCGGTCGATGTCACGGGACGAGGCCGACGACGAGGCCGACGACGAGGTCGACGATGAAGACGGCGACGTGACTTCTCCTGGCGCGGGCACCCCAGAAACAGCTGTCGTCGATACCTCTGGCGGGGGGGTTAGGGTCCGAAGACTGATCCAATGGACGCCGAGTTCCCCAGCGAGTTCTTCCAGTTGGGGACAGATGTGTGTGTGTCGAACAACAGTAGGGAGCCAAGCTCAAGACCGACGCGTTTTCTTGCTGGCAACACACTGAAACTCGTACAGGAAAGCGCATCCTGGTATATACGGTATCCTGGCGTATACATTTGTCCTTGTTTCCCCGGGAGGGGAAGGAAAGGAGAGGAGGAGAGGAGAGGAGAGGGGAGGGGAGGAGAGGAGAGGAGAGGAGTAGAGGATAGAGGAAGAGGGGAGGAGAGGAGGGGAGAGGAGAGACAGGGAGAGGGGAGGAGAGGGCGAGATGAGGGGAGAGGGAGGAGAGGAGAGAGGGGAGAGTGAGAGGAGAGAGGACAGAAGGGATGGGAGAGCAGGGCGGGGGGGGGGGGGGGGGGAGGGGAGAGCAAGGCCCGGCCTGCGCCCGCCGCAGCTCCGGCTGCGCGGCGGGGCGGAGCCCGAGCGGCGCCCGCCCCTGCCAGGGGGGGGGGGGGCGCGGAGGAGGAGGGGAAGGAGGAGGAGGAGGAGGAGGAGGAGGACGGAGAGGAGGGGGAGGAGGAGGAGGAGGAGGGAGGAGGAGGAGGGAGGAGAGGAGGAGGAGGAGGAGGAGGAGGAGGAGTGAGGGAGGAGGAGGAGGGGAGGAGGAGGAGGAGGGGGAGGAGGAGGAGGAGGGGGGAGGAGGAGGAGCAGGAGGAGGAGGAGGAGGAGGAGGCGGGATCGGGGATCGGGGCCCTCCCTCGTCCTCGACACGCGTCGGTCGGAGGAAGCACAGGCGGCCCGCACAGCGAAGGCCAGTCCACAAGGAGGCTTCCACAAGAGGCCCAGGCCTGAGACCCCAGGACGTCCATCGACTCTTGGTGCGGGACCGTCGCGCCCTCCAGAGCGAAGCCAGCGAAGCCAGCGAAGCCCAAGAGACCTAGGGCACCCTGGAGGCGAGCGGGGTGTTCTTTGGCATGGGTCTCCACTGCACAGTCAACCAGTATCTAAGGACGCACGATAAGGATACAAGGGTCTTGGAGGGACATGTCTAAGCCTCTCGAGCGGGGCGCGGCCGGCGAAGGTGGCCAAGGATGGGCCGAGAGGGCAAGGATGCAAGAGTACCCTTGGGAAGGTTTTTGTTCTCTCGAGGGGGGGGCAAAGCTCCACGAAGCCACCCTGGGACTTTAGTGCACAGAAGAGACGTGCAACTGATGAGCGGGACGTTCATGTACTTTCTTGATCCAGTGAACTGCTTCCAGGGTGGCATTCTCCAAGGCGACGGCCTCAGCTAGGAAAGAACTGATTGGCTCTTCGAGATAAGTATTCCAGATTTCGTAATAAAGGGAGGGGGGTCTCATTTCGGGGGGGGCCTCTTCCAGGCTATCTGAGAGGGCCTGGGGGGTCTGGGGACGATGTTTTGGAGGGTTCTCCCACGGGGGAGGTCTGAAATGGCTTGTCTTGGAGGGTCCAGACCCCCTCCCTTTTATTACGAAATCTGGAGTGCCAGCCTCGTCTACAGGGACGAACTTCTCCCTGCCATGGAGGGTCGGCTGTAGGCAGAAGCACGAAGCAAGAAGGAGACAGAGGCAGACGGGGCTCCCGCCCCCGCCCCCTGAAGAGTCGGGACCGGCCAAGAGGGGGGTGTCCAAGGGGGGGTGCAAATCATTGCCGTCTGCATGTGCGCGGCCCAGCGGGGGGCCAGGGACGTCATGAAACAAGAAGAGGCGCCATGAAATCTGGGGAGATATCATGGTCTCCGCCATGATATCCACCCCCCCTAGTCATCACCCCCCTCTTTTCCGCCCCCGAAAGAGGGGAGGGGACGAGGCTAAAGCAGACAGGAATCGGGGGATCCAGAAATGTGCGTGCTTCCAACCACCGACTGGTGTTCCCACTGGGATATCGGCGCGAAAGTTTCTGGACGTGGTCGCAAGTTTTCGGACGCTGCGTGGGTCCCAAAAAGCAGTCTCGCCTCTGGATGCTTTCCAGCAGCTGCGCATCGTCGAAGGCGTTCTGGGAGTGTGCCTGGATCATCTCGAACGGCCGCATGAAGCCCGAGTTGTAGCTGGGAAACTACTGGCATCGGCGCGAAGGGTACCAAGGGGATGGGGGGTTGCCAGTGGATGCCAAGGTCGGTCATATCTGGCCGAACCTGGCTTATATGTGGGCTATAAATGCCGCAAGTGGCTCAAGGAGGCTAGATGGCTTCGCTGAGCTTCGCTGAGTGGGCGAAGCCCATTTCGCCCAGATCGTTACCCCCCCCCTGACTCACTTCCGGCAGGTGTAGCCGACATATAAGCCAGATTAGGTCAGATATAGCCCACCTTGGCGTCCACTGAAAGCCCCCCTATCCCTTTAGCAACCCCGCGTCGATCACAGCAGAATGGGGGCCATCCCTCGTCCTCGGTATTCCCGAATCTCCGAAAATATGGTTTCTTCATTGTGGGCGCTTCCTCGAGTTCGGCTCCTGGGGCCCGCTATCGGGCCCCAGGGCCATCGAATAGGAATCGGGGGCGAGAAGCTACCCCTGGGGAACGGGTCGGGACCTCCTGGCCGCGCATTGGGGGTGGGAGGGGGGGGGGGGGGAAAACGACAGACCACACACACACACACACACACACACACACACCAACAACAAAAAACACATAATATAACTATATACATATACAACAATAAACCATCATAAAGAACAAAAGCAATAAAACGGTGGAAACAAAAAAAACTTCCTATTCCGCCTCCTCTTCCGCCTCCTCCTCCTTCTCCTCCTTCTCCTCCTCCTCCTTCTCCTTCTCCTTCTCCTTCTCCTCCTCCTCCTCCTCCTACTCCTACTCCCCCTCCTCCTCCATCCCATTCCTCCTCCTCATTTTTTTTCTCCTCCTCCTCCTCCTCCTCTTCCTCCTCCTCATCCTCCTCCGCCTCCTCCTCCTCCGTCTCCTCCTCCCCGTCCTCTTCCTCCTCCTTTTCCTCCTCTTGCTCTTCCTCCGCCTCCTCCTCCTCCGCCTCCTCCTCCGCACCCTCCCCCTCCTCCTCCTCGATCCTCAATGTTCCAGCCTAAGGACTGGCCTGCAAGCTTCCATACTCATGATGTACACTTCTGTGATCGTCTAGGGAAGCCCTCGCAGCTACGGCCAGATCCAAATCGTCACACTCCGCCGTGAATGCACTTCAGGAAAATTCCAGGGGTCGATCGAGCGAGGTTTTCCGGAGGCTTTCGTCGATTGTCGGCGGATTTTCCCAGCCTCCGCATACTCCCCGCAACTGCGCCTCCCCGACAGCGCTCACACAAGGTGCTCGGATCAACCCGATCGGCCGCCGCAGAACCGAGCTGTGACCCGAAGGCCAGGGGCCTGACAGCTGGCACGCCCGAGATGGGCCAGGGTCGGTCGGCATCGAATCCACCCATCCACCCATCCACGTTCCCTCCTCCCCCTCCTCCTCCTCCTCCTCCTCCTCCTTCCTCCTCCTCTCCTCCTCCTCCTCCTCCTCCTCCTCCTCCTCTCCTCCTCCTCCTCCTCCTCCTCCTCCTCCTCCTCCTCCTCCATCCTCCTCCTCCTTGCTCGCTCGCTCGCTCGCTCACGGCTGTAGATACTGGTTGTTGATGCGGCCACTAGCCCCCTCCTGCAGGCGCCGCATGGCACCGCAAGTGGGAATCATTGCGAAAACGGGCCGGTCCGCCCGCTGGCGAGACCAACAAAATACGAAGGGGGAGAGACGGGACGGGGGCCCGAAAGAAGAGGTCGAAAAGGAGGGCCACGAACGGCGGGCGAAACGAGGAGGGGAGGACGAAGATGTGAGGGTCGAAGTGCCCGCCCTGCCTTCCCCCCACTACCACCCCCAAACACTCCTAACTCACCTCCAAACTCAACCTCTCCCATCCCTCCCTGCCCCTCAGAGGTGGTAGCATTTCAAGCGGATGCAGCTCGTGCACATGAGGTAGCCGAGGCCGCAGGGGACAAGGACGTTCGTGCTGACGGTGCGGAGGACGAGGTTCAGGGAGCAGTGGCTAATGAGGAGCACTTGAAGCGTAGGTCGGAGATCGGGAAGACGTATCTATTGGCTGTGACGACGTCGGGCGCGTGGGCACCTCGCGCGGTTGCCCAGTGGCTATCGCCGCAGGTTAAGAACATTGGTCGTTGATGGTTGAGGCTTTCGATGAGCTTGGACATGGGCTTGTTGGCCAGGGTGGTTTCCTTTTGGATGTTGAGGGCCTGGTTGTAGCTGACATGTTATGTGCCTACCATTGTCGTAAGGGTGTCGAGCTTTTCCTGAATGTCGTTGTGTTGGGAGCGGTATTCGGTGATGATGCCTGATATCAGAGAGTTTTTGGTGCTCCGCACGGTATTGATCTGAGTGATGGGGCCCCGTGCCCATAGGTCGCTATTGCTGTTGTGGGACATGCTGACGATTGTGACCTCGCCCCCCTCGTTCACCGCGATTGTGCCGCGTTCGAGATAGTCCTCCAGCTTAGTGGAGAACGAGTGGCGCATCATGGTTGCTTGCATCGGGAATGTGATTGTGTCGGAATTGACCTTCTCGTGTGTGATCATAGCGATGGGGAAGCAGCCGCTAGCCACTGGGCCTCTGTGGTACGGCTTCTATGGCACATGCATGGTTGGTGCTTGCTGCTGGCGTGCTGTCGCAGGAAGCCGGGTTGGAGCAGCTGGGTTCACTGGTGCTTGTGCGTCGCTCTTGGGAGTCGAGTTCGTGCTGTCTGGTCTTGACCACGTAGTCGATCACGTGTGTAGGCTGTTCTACTGTTGCCTCTCGGACTGTCGGTAGGGTAGGTGATGCTTTGAATATCGCAAGCTTCGCTGCTGGGATCGCGCCGCTATGCAGGATTGGTTGGTGCTGCTGGTTGGGAGTTGATGTGGTTGATGGGGTTGCGCTGGTAAGTGCGGCTGCGCTGCTCGTAGGTGCTTCGTCGTTCGGTTGGTGCGCCGTGTTGTTGTCCTCGGCCGTTGTCTTATATTCGCGCCTGTGCATGGTGACTTCGCGCGCGCTCGCGTCCCGGGTCGGTAGTATATCGACGTATCTCGCGGTCGAAAGTGCCGTCGTCGCCGCCTGGTGCGAGCATTGGTCTGGGGCTGCGCAGCTGCTCGACGCGGTCCACGATGCGACTCATGCCTGGAGGGCGCGGGCCCCCTTCCCTCCAGCATGGGTGCGACCACGAGCACGTTGTTGCCGAAAGTGGGGAACGGCCTGGACCCCTGGTTGACCTCGAGGCGGGGGAAGGAGAAGCCGCCTGCGATGTCGCTGCACCACAGATGTGCTCGATCGATCCATTCGCGCGCTTCCTGACCCTGTTGGCATTGGGTCCTCAGCCTGTCGAGTAGGTCGTGGAGATGGTCTGCGCCATCGCTTTGTCGCCTGCCCTCGTTTCGCAAGGCTTTCTGGCATTGGGGGGCGATCGCGGGGCGGGGGGGGGATGTCGGCCTGAGGCTGCGGTAGAAGCAGCCGTCCTTGATGATGCTGAAAGCCTCGACGTTCATATCGGTT